GCAACTGGCCCAGACAACATCCCCGGAAAAGTGTTGAAGGAATGTGCTGATCAGCTCTGTGAGGTGCTGGCAGACATCTTTAACACCTCACTTACCCTGGAGACAGTTCCCACCTGCCTGAAGACTGCCACCATCATCCCAGTCCCAAAAAGCTCTACAGTGACTGGTCTGAATGACTATCGGCCAGTGGCCCTCACCCCGATAGTCGCTAAATGCTTCGAAAAACTGGTCATGACTCACATCAAAACAACCATCAACATCAACGAGGACCCTCATCAGTACGCATACCGTGAGAACCGATCAACAGAGGATGCAATCTCCTCTGTGGTCCACACTGCGCTCAACCACCTGGAGCAGAAAAAACTCTTACGTCCGTATGCTCTTTGTGGACTTCACATCCGCCTTCAACACCATGATCCCCCAAACCCTGATGGACAAACTATCCACACTAGGACTAAGCCCCTCCATCTGCAACTGGGTACTAGACTTTTTAACAAACAGACCACAGTTAGTGAGGATCCACAACCTCTCCTCCTCCACCATAACCCTCAGCACTGGCTCTCCTCAGGGATGTGTGTTGAGCCCCCTCCTGTTTACTCTGCTCACATATGATTGTGCAGCTACCCATCCAGGCTGTCACATTGTAAAGTTTGCAGATGATACAGCGGTGGTGGGATGCATCACAAACAATGATGAGTCCAGCTATAGGCAAGAGGTGGAACACCTGGAGAACTGGTGCAAAGAGAATAACCTTCACATCAATGTGAAGAAGACAAAGGAGATGATTGTGGACTTCAGAAGGAACAAAAACCCCTACACCCCCCTGAACATAAGAGGATCTGCGGTGGAAGTGTTCTCCAGCTACAAGTACTTGGGTGTACACATGAACAACAACCTCAGCTGGAGCAACAACACCACCAGCCTGATCAAGAAAGCTCATCAGAGACTCTACTTCCTCAGACGGCTGAGACGAGCTGGTCTGGAAGCTCAGTCCTCACCTCCTTCTACAGGTGTGCAGTGGAGAGCATCCTGTGCTCCAGCATCAACGTGTGGCATGGAGGCTGCACAGCTGCAGAAAGAAAAGCTTTGCAGAGAGTGGTGAAGGCTGCACAGAAGATGTTGGAGTCAGTCTCCCCACCATCACAGACATCTACACCTCCAGATGCAAGAAGAGGGCCACCTGCATCATGAAGGACCTCACTCACCCAGCACACACACTTTTTGCCCCGTTCCCCTCAGGAAGGAGGTTGAGGAGCATTAAGTGTAGAACCACTAGACTGAGGAACAGCTTCTACCCTGAGGCTGTTAAATCCCTAACCAGGAGAATCACTGTAATGGCACTTTCATTGGTGATATGTAACTTTATCCATGCTGCTGATGTCATGCTGCTGATGTCATGCTGCTGATCTCACGCTGCTGTATTCATTCATACCCATCTGCTCACGCATACTCATGTTCGTGCTGCTGTTGTTACGCCGTATTGTTTTACATTATTAATGTTTAACGTATATCTTAGATCTTTTAGAGTACCGTTTGGCGTACTACATCTTGAGCCCTGGGATGAGTTTTATCTAGGTGTAGTGAACTAAGCCTAAGGTCAGGATTTGACCTTAAGAACCATGTGGGACAGAAACTGTCATTTCATTGATTTGAATCCAGAAATACAGGTTGACCCATCCTGAGACTTTCTTTCTTGAATTAATCAAGTGAAAGAAGACTCTCTTTTTTATTATCATTACTATTTTACAAATGTTGATAATCAAAGTGTTTTAGTCCAAACCATTTTAGATGTTGTAGTGAACTAATCAATTTTTATTAACTGTGAAACAGTAATAACGATTTTTAATCCTCATGCAAAGTTAGAATTCATGTTAAGGTCTGTTACAGAGTAATTATGCATTTTCTGATTTTCTGTCTTTGAATGAGCAGTGTTGGTCCAAGGTTGGACTCAAACGCAGACAAGTGTTGGAACGAACTGTCTTGTTTTTACATCCTCTCAGACGTAAATAGAGAAGTTGGCACCTGTTTTTCCGCCAACTCGTCTAAATATCCCTCTCGTCTGTCTAAAACATTTTCAATCTGTTCCATAACATTCTTGCTGTTTTTCTAACTTCTAGTAACCTCTTACGTCACAAAACACACCCCTGTCTGGTCGATATTGACCAATCAGAAACTCCCAGATGAACCGGAAATAGAGCTCTTTAAAATGTCGGTACTTCCTAGTTTAAACCAGTGTCTGGAGAGTGGCGGAGAGTGTCGAGAGTGGCGGAGAGTTTCGAGAAGAGTCGAGTTGGAGTCGTTGCAGCTCCCGTGCTGGGAAACAGGAAAATCCTGACATGACCACAGAGCTCTTCCGAGTCTTATGGGATTATAACATCTTCCACCTCTGGGTGGAACTCTGACGGACTCCACTCATGTGAAGTCCACTCGTGAGGTGAATTTGTGTCGGACGGAATACCGTCACTACTTCGGACGATTCACAGCTGTTCCTACGGAGACGCTGAAAGGGTGCGTTAAATGGAACTTCGTACCAGGGACATCTCCAGGTAAAAAGTTGATTTATAACACCTAAGTGTACTGGGGAAGAAGCTGAAAAAAGCCCGGAGAGTGCCGTTCTGAATGCTGACACAAACAAACCCCCTCCCCCATCTTTTTCTCCCTCTAAACTTCATCTTTCCATCTTTAAAATTCTTCTATCAAGTAGAAATCATTCCAGATATTTTAGAAATGTCTGTGTAAAGTTCTCATCCACCGCCGTGTGGATAATCAAATTTGTACAGTTTGCTAAACTAGCCATGTTGTTATTTTCCATATTTTGCCAATTAATGTAAATGTGTGATGTGTTAAACTTTGATTCTGTTAATAAATGACCGCATTCATTTTGATGGGTCAAAGATAATTAACGTCTCACGTTACATTTCTAAATTCAATGCACATTATATACAGTCCAGAAAAATGAAAGAATCCGTTTAATTGATGAATATATCTCATGCATATGTTCCTCTACATAGGGATCACATCATGTAATAAATAAATTACTCCCCAACGTCTGCTTTTTATGTGGTGCATTCGCACAAGATAATCAAAGCCTGAGATTTAGCTGAAATTTACAGACATCTTCCGGACATGATGTTAACACGCTGGTCATTGCGTAACATTTATGCAACACGTTACATTTACATTACGTAGCATCCACGTTATGGATCGATAGGCTTTTGCTGGTGCTGGACACAAAATAATATTTATGCACTCTAATGCAGCCTCCATTGCCCAAAGCAAATAAAACTGCGCTCAGGGAACAAAAAACGCCTCATTACGTATCAGATCCCGCCCATTTCACAGAGATGCCTCTTCACATTGGATTAGTCTTGTCACAGGGCCTCGTTCAGCAAAATATAGTAGGTAATTTGCGGGGGAATTTTTACTTTACAAATTACTGATATGGCAGATTTGCATGGGATTAACAAACAATCTGTAATTATTACAAATAACATGTGGTCCCTAGGTAAAACTAATCCCATGTGAACACTGAATATCTTAGATCCTTTATAATGTTTCTTTTTACTCTTTATATTTTTCCTATCGTTGAATGTAACTGGGCACATAATTTCATTCCATCTCATGTACCACATGTGACGTGAATGACAATAAACTTGAACTTGTAGAGAAGAGCATCTTGATCATGTGGGACAAAGGTGTTTTATTTGTATTTATTAAACTTCACTGACTTCACAGATCTGTGTAAGAGATAAACTGCCAGTTTGTTCAGTCTGACACTTTGAGCTGCAGAAACACGAAAAGCTTTACATTGCACTCCCTCTGTGATCATTTATTAAACTTTAATGAACTTTAAATAAGTTGAACGTAGATGTCCGAGTTTGACTCAGTGTCAGTTTAGGGTTTATTTAAAGAAATCTTCAATCCTTGATAACAAACTTCTGGTTTCTGTGTTTGCTCAAATGTCTCGATGTTCGTGTTCACAAACAAGCCAGAGGACGAAACTTACTGCAGCTCGCCGTTTAAACAATGTTCATGTTGTGTTTGGATCCAGACTCAACGTCTCCTGCTGTTGTGCTCAAAACAAAGGTCAAAGTTCAGCAGTTTCACTTGGGATTGATCTTTTTCTCACAGGAAATGACTGCAGATTGTTTCTAAATGAGGAGAAAACTGAGCAACTTTTAAAGGAAGTGAAGAAATTTCATCTTTAATTTGATGGGTGGACTTGTTAACGTTTATTAAAATAAATCTTTTACCTGACTTCTTGTTGAACGTCAGTCCTGGACATCAGCGGTGAGCTCAGAGAGGGAAGCGTTCTGCAACTGTGTTTTCAGGAGACGACTCAAAGAAGCTGAACTGGGGGGTCCTCCAGAAAGTTTTGAATAAAGTAGATGCCATTTCCTGCATTCTGGTGTATTTTAACGTTGTTAAACATCTTTGTTTACCTACAGTGTAAACACTTGATTCAATATCTATTTTAGAGAGCAACAAGAAGTAGCGGGCAGCACGGTGGTGCAACTGGTAGAGCTGCTGCCGCCCCACGAGCAGGTCCCCGGTTCAAATCCTGGTCCGGGGTCCTGTCTGGGTGGTGTCTGCATGTTCTCTTTGTGGGGCGGCTGTGGTTGAGTGGTTAGAGCAGTCGTCCTCCAATGCAAGAGTTGGGGGTTCGATTCCACCAGCAGTCACATGCCGAAGTGTCCCTGGGCAAGACACTGAACCCCTCGTCGCCTCTGATGTGTGTCCCATCAGTGTATGAATGTGATAAAGATCTGATTAGTCTCTTTAGAATGATTTGTTCACTTATCTTTGTAGAGATCTAGTATAGAGCTGTATGAATGGGTCAATGAGGCACAGATTGTTGTGCTTTGAGTGTCTTGATCAGATAGAAAGGTGTTGTATAAGTACAGTCCATTTACTATTAAACACAAAGAAATAAAATGAGGTAAATCAGAATATAGACATAAAAACGATGCAGATAATGACAACAAACCAGTGTGGAGCATACAGGATCAAAACACAGATCATCTGGTGTTGAAAGCTACTGAATAGTAGTGAGTTTTTAAACGGGACTTAAAAACCGAGAGGGAGGGGGCCTGTCTGACAAGCAGAGGTAACTCGTTCCAAAGTCTTGGTCCTGCTACAGAGAAGGCCCTGTCACCTCTGCGCTTAAGACGAGTTCCTGGAACTGTGAGGAGCAACTGGTCCGCTGACCTCAGGGAGCGTGGTGGGACATACGGTTGTAGCAGATCAGAGAGATTGGGGGGGGGGGGGGACACTGTTCAGTGATTTGTAGACATACATGAGTATTTTGAACTGGATTCAAAGGTGAACTGGTAACCAGTGCAGTGAGGCCAAAACTGGTGTAATGTGCTCTCTCTTTTGACTGTACTGGTTAAAAATAGGGCTGCTGCATTCTGGACCAGTTGTAGTCGTGCAATGTATGTCATGTTCAGCCGTCAGAAGTGTTTGAACCCACGTGCAGGAGGATGACGAGGACGCTCGAGGGATAATAAAAATATATTTATTAAACAAAACAAAATCAAAATGCTGACAGGGCAGCTACTCACAAACTGGAAACAGGCAGATCAGGGCTGACAGGACAAAAGGCTGAACACGACACCATGGAAGGATAATCCCGAGACAAAGACAAGACACCAGTGAACTGAATATATACACACACACTGATTAGGACAATGACAGCCACCTGCAGTGATTAACATTAGACACAGGTGAGACAGGGGCTGAACACAAGGGAAAACACTGAGTGCTGGAAACAGACCAAACCAAAACCCCACAATGGAGGTCTGACTGATACCAAACAGGAGTGAATTGCAGTAATCAAGCCTAGATGTAATGAATGCAGGTATTACTGTCTCCAGGTTCTTTTTGGACAGTATGGGCTTCAGTTTAGACAGCCGCCTCAGTTAAAAGAAACATGATTTAACAATCATGTTTACATGATTGTTAAGTTTCAGGGAAGTGTCCATTATCACGCCCAGATTAGTGACTTTGTTTTTCTGACAACACCTGTTTGTGCATTATAGAGATGCATCTGCAGGTCGCCCGTTATCCACCCAGCGCTTGTCACACTGGCTGTGCGAGACTATTTCTGAAGCCTACAGAGCATCAGATTTAGAGCCTCCTGACAACCTCAGGTCACACTCGACCAGGGGTATCGCATCTTCGACTGCCTTGCATAATGGTGTGTCAATGCAGGACATTTGAACTGTGGCCACGTGGTCAACACCCTGCTCATTTATTCGCCTTTATCTAGGTGATGTGACGGCCTGTTCCATGACACATTCTGTCTTTAGTGTTTTAACAGAATAAATATTGTTTCTTTCATGGAACTCCGTTTAACTCACATCTGTCTGCATGCATTACAGTGTGAGATGTTATCAGTCACAAGTTGTGATTGTTATTTTGGTTCTATTGTCACTAATCAGTTCACGACTATTGTTACCAATCAGTTCATTTGATTAATAATCAGCTCTCCTGTTATTATTAATCTGTTCATATGGTTCAGCCATAAACCGGTTGGTTCATGGCTCTTTTCAGGGTTTTTCCCTCCCCGTTGAAGTTTTCCGGGCGTTCGTGCATTTAGAACGCATAGTTACACAACATGCGTCTGTGCATGGTACACATAATTACGCAATGTGTAATTACGCACATGGGAGCTGAATGATTAGACTTTTTTGGGCAAGCTTCTGCTTCATACGGTGTTCGAATGGACCCAGTGAGGCATAGACTACATCCGCTTCGCCCTTAACCCATCAGCGACAGCCTTAAAGGGCGAAGCCTATACGAAATAGAACGTTGGTTACGTACTGTAACCCCAGATTCTATGAGTATAGGCGTAGCCCTTTAAGCGTCGGGCCTCACTGGCTCCTAAATGGCTGAAGAAAAAAGCTATTTTTGGGAGCCGATTTCCCGCTCTTAACGTAATTTATACGGACCGGGTGGGGCCCACACAGCAGGTGGGCGTGGACTAATTTTTCAGTGTAATGCTCCGCATAACGGGATAAAACCCCATCCAGTCCCCCGGCACAAACAGAGTAATGTTGTGTATGCTGTTCAGTGTCAGGAGGGCTGTGATCAGTCTTACATCGGGGAAACTAAACAGCCACTGGCCAAAAGGATGGCCCAGCACAGAAGATCAACATCATCAGGCCAGGACTCTGCGGTCTACACTCATCTCCAGGTCAGAGGTCACTCTTTCAGGGATGAAGATGTTCACATCCTGGATAGAGAGGAACGATGGTTTGAGAGAGGAGTAAAGGAGGCCATCTTTGTGAAAAGAAATCGTCCATCATTAAACAGGGGCGGAGCCTCCAGGTTCAACTGTCCCCCTCTTACAATGCTGTGATTGCTAGTATCACTCAGCCCTCTGTGAACAGTAAACAGCCATCAGGTGCTAATGATCCATTGTTAGGCTGATGGTCCTTCTTGAGCATGTGATCAGCTGGTTCTGGTTGTCAGCAGCAAACTGGTTGATCCACTCTGAGAAGGTGCTATTTAAGAGACTGAGCTGAATACAGCTCCTCAGACTGAGGAAGTCCTCAGGATGAGAGACGAAACGTTTCTACATGTTTTTGTTTTTTTGCTTTGTTTTGTTTTTTTGAATGTCCAGAGGACCAGATTTAACTTTTTTAGATACATACACACAATTATATCTATTTTATATCTAACCACATATTGCCACCGTATATATACACATACATTATAATTTCATT